AACGGTAACGGGGGCCGCGGCGCGCCCCCCCCCCAGGGGCGCGCCGCCGTCGTCGTCGTCGTCGTCGCCGTCCATGCCCACAACGCCTGTGCACACAACACGGGCTCTGTACGGCACAATGTCTTCGTGCACCAGAACTGCTGCAGAAATGGTCTGTGTGTGCGCCACGGTGACTGCATAGACAGTCACAACCGTGTGCACCACAGCGCATTGTACATCACACTGTTTGTGCAAACGACGGCGCCTGTGTGCACCACAGCTGCTGTTTGAGCCCACCCCCTGTGCACCACAGTGCCTGCGTACACCACAAAGGTTGTGTACACCTTACACCTGAATGTACCGACGGAACCAAACTCTGGAAACTCGATGGGGGCCCGAACGTATCAAATTCAATGTGCGAATTGATTGTGAATATTTGTTTTTCTGGCCCAGAGAACACTCGGATATTTTGGGCCGGCAACGCCTGTGCGCGCCACAGCGACTGCGCACGTCATGGCAACAGTGCGCACCAGAGCGCCCGTGAACACCACGCGGCTCGGGGGAGCGCGGAGCGGCGTCAGCGGAGAAAATACACGCACGAGAAGCTGGACTTACAGCAGCACCAGCAGGAGGAGCAGGAGGAGCAAAAGGAATCCCACGATAAGGGTCGACAACTCGGGGCCCGCACTCTTTTTCCAAGAGCACTGCCAACATGTACACCATCATCTAACAAAATTTGCCCCTCGACGGCCCCGACGGAGCCAAAGTCTGGGAAAGTGTTCGGGGTCCGAATGTATCAGAGTCAATATGTGATCTGACTTGTGATGATTGTTTTTTTTTGGCCCGAGGAACGCTCGGACATTTTGAGCCCACAGCGAATGTGAAACACAACGCCTGTGTGCACCACAAGGCCTGTGTGCACACAGTGCTTGTGTACACCACGATTCCCGCGTCCTGTATACGCAAGGAGAACGCCGACGAGGAGGACAAAAATCAAAGAGGGATGATAAAATAGGAAGAGATGCGTGGGTACATCATAGCCCACAATGCACGCTTACGCCATAGCGACTTTGCACACTCCAGCGATTATCTACATCACGGCGCCTGCGTACACCACATGGCTTGTGATGCGTAAACTTCAATACTTGCGGCACTTGCGTACACCCACAACATCTCTATACACCACAGGTGCTGCTGCAACGACAGCTGTGTACGCCACAACGCCAGTGTACACCGCAGTGCTTGCCCACACCATAATGCACGCTCGCGTGCACCGCGGCACCAATATGTAGTGCCCGCGTGCACCAGGCCCCTAAGCTGCCCGGGATCGCGCACTGGACCGGGACGGGGCGTTACCGTTACGAGGGGGGGGAGGCGGGGAACATGTGGTGTTGTCCCTTGGGTGGATGAAAACTGGACTCGTTGACGATGAGGAGGAGAAGGAAGCGGGAGGAAAGATGAAGAGAATGGCCCAAAACCTCGATACATCAATAGAGGCGACGACGATAGCGGCGACGAGGATGGCGGCGAAGACGATGCTGCCGACGACGACGAGGACGACGGCGAAGTCACCGCGGATGACTAGATGGAGGATGAGAAAGAATTGAGCAGGAGGACGAGGAAGAGGGCGTCGCAAAACCTCGATCCAACGATGGCGCCTGCGACGACGCCGCCGACGACGGTGGCGACAACGACGCCACGACGACGACGACGACGAGGACGACAACGACGCCGACGATGCCGACGACGCCGACGGCAACGACGCCGGCGTCTACGACGGCGACGACCGAGACGACGCCGATGGCGGCAACGACGACGCGGACGGCGAAGACGACGCCGACGCTGACGGCGACGCGCGAAAAGGGCAGCGACGCGCGGCGCTCCCGGTGCTCCCGCCAGTCAGCGGTGGACACGCTGGCGGACTCTTTCTCGCCCAGCTGCCACAGGAGCGTCGGCAGCTGAAGCGCAACCTCGGCAGGCCGACGTCACCGGCGTTGTCGTCCTGGTCTCGCCATCGTCGGCGATGGTTCTATAGCTTTCTGACCTGTTCGAATATACGTGTTCGGCGGTTGCCGGATGTCTTCCCATCTTTCCGGCGGTGTCCACGGGTTCTCGGAAGCTCCCGCAGGCTCTCGGAGGCACCCGGGCGTCGTCGTTGTCGTCGTCGTTGTCTTCGTCGTCGTCGTCGTGATCGTCGTCGAAGTGTCATCTCATATTCCCTCCTGCTCCCTCCTCCTCCTCCTCCTCCTCCTCCTCCTCCTCCTCCTCCTCTGCCGTCCTCTTGCTCCTTTTCACATGAAAGGGCGCGCCCTCATGCGCTCCATTCGCCTTACCCCCTTTTCTCATTCTCGTCCTTCTCCTTCTTCCTCCTCGTACTCTCACTCCTACCCCTCCTCATCCCTCCTCCATCTCGAAGGAGAGGGGTCCCAGGTGGGGATGGAGGGCGGATGGGCAGGGAGGATCGAGGGAGGAAGGAGACTCGAGAAGGGAGGACATACTTTCGCACGTGTGTCTTGGGGAATTCGTTCGCAGGGGACCTACATGCACCTCTGAGACCCCCAGGCGCTCCCTCCTCCCTCCCTCCTTCGGGCGGAAGGAGGGGCAGACGAATGCACGCTGCGGATGAGAAGGAGCAGGAGCGCGCGTAGCAGAGGCGGATGCCTGGCATGAGGGGCGGGGGGTCCCGAGGGAAACGTCGACTCTGGACAAGCTTCCGGGTAACTTTTGGCAGTCTCGCGCGGGGCTCTTGAAAGGGCCACGGGGGGCCGAACGCGGCGAGAAAGATCGTGCGCGGCGGCCACCTCGATGTGCGGCCACCGTGGCGCAGAGTGTGGGAGGCGGGGGAGGAGGAGGAGGAGAAGGCGGAGGAGGAGGAGGAGAAGGAGGAGGGGGAGAGGAGGGAAGAGGAGGAGGAGGAGGAGGAGGAACAGGAGAAGGAGGAGGAGGAGGTGGAGGAGTGGGACCAGTGTAAGCCCAAGAGTCATCAACGATGTTGGAGTACACCCTCCCTCCATGCTCCCTCGTCATGGGCCCCATACAACGGTTCATTGTCATTTATGGAACTGCCTCGTTGGAAGACACCCGTTTGAAGACCTTGAAGCATGCTAAAACATTGTTCTCGGGATTCCACGCCACGGATGAACCTGATCGTTGCGCCTTTACGATCTCAGACCGCGCCAGAACGCCATTCCCAGGACGTCAACACAAGGAACCAACGAAACTGCTGCACCCGCATAATCATGAACCCTTCTAAAACACCATTTCTGGTACGCTGACGATGGGAATCCGTGAAGCTCGTGCAACGATTAAAAACGAATGTGCGCGGCGCTCTGCACTGCTTCAAGGTCGCTAGAAGGACATAACTATCGCCAATGTGGGAAGATGCTCTTCTGTGCAATTTTGTCTTTTGGAAGTAGCCACCCCTTCAGGGTTGCATTGCTTTAAGGTTGCTAGAAGGACAGGGCTGTCGCCAATTTGGGAATAGGCTCGTCTGTGCTACTTTGCCCAAGGCGAGAACCACATGTTGAAAAGGAACCGCCCTCAATCCGTGCAACTCTTCGCAATGTTAAAAACGAATGTGCGCGGCGCTAAAGCGAGAACCGCACAATTAAAAACCACTCGCCCTCAATCCGTGAATATCTTGCAGTCTTTATGTGCACAACGCTAAGGCGAGAGACACATTTTGAAAACCACCCGCCCTCAATCAGTGGAACTTCTGCAACATGTTAAAACGAATGTGCGCGGCGCTACGGCGAGAACCTCCTGTTGAAAAGAAACAGCCCTCAGTCCGTGATACTCTTCGAACTGTTAGAGGCGAATGTGCGCGGTGCTAAAGCGAGAACCGCATGTTTAAAGCAACTCGCCCTCAATCCGCGAAACTCTTGCACATGTTTAAAACGAATGTGCACAACGCTAAGGCGAGAGCCACATGTTGAAAACCACCCGCCCTCAGCAAGTGAAACTCTTGCAACGTTTTAGGACGAATGTGCGCGGCGCTAAGGCGAGAGATACATATAGAAAACGACCCGCACTCCATCTGCGAAACTGCAGCTAATTCTGAAGCTTCAGAATCATAAATGGTGAGGAAGTCTCAGGCGAAACGCCCGGCCCGCCCTAAAAACTGGCATCGGAGTGCGACAGGGAGAAATTACATGCAAGGAGGAGGAGGAGCGGGAAGGAGGAGGATGATGATGATGAGGAGGAGGAGGAGGAGGGAGAGAGGAGGGATGAGGAGGAGGAGAAGGAGAAGGAGGAGGAGGGGGACGAGAAGGAGGAGGAGGAGAGAGGACGAGGAGGAGGAGGGGGAGAGGAGGGAAGGGGGGGAGGGGAGGAGAAGGAGGGAGGAGGAGGAGGACGAGGAGGAGGAGGTGGAGGAGGAAGAGGAGGCGGAGGAGAAGAGGAGAAGAGGAGGATGAAAAGGAGGAGGAGGGGGAAGGAGGAGGATGAGAATGAGAATGAGGAGGAGGAGGACGACGAGGAGAGGGAAGGGGGGAAGAGGAGGGAGGAGGAGGAGAAGGAGGAGGAGGAGGAGGACGACGAGGAGGAGGTGGAGGAGCAAGAGGAGCGGAGGAGGAAGAGGAGAAGGAGGAGGAGGAAGAGGAGGATGAGAAGGAGGAGGAGGAGGAGGAGGAGGAGGGGGAAGGAGGAGGATGAGAAGGAGGAGGAGGAGGACGAGGAGAAGGAGGGGGAGAGGGGGGAAGAGGAGGAGGAGGAGGAGGAGGAGGAGGAGGAGCACGCCAGATAAAGCTTTGCCAAACATAGAGATTGCCCCACAGGTGCGTCCCGCCCATGGGCCACACCTGCACTCATGTGGAGCAGGCGGCCCTCTGGGTACGGCGACACGGGCGGGTATTGGACATCTCGGCGGCTCGCGCAAGGAAGACGACGTCGACGTCATCATCGACGTCGTTGTTTGGGATATTCGTGTGCGCTTCTATGAATTCGTATGCAGATGCATGACTATTGCGGCCTCCTCGAGGAGGTCCTCGGAGGGCCAGGCGGGGATGGTCTGGGCCGCGGTCTCACTGCCCGCCGCCGCCGAAATGGGGCACCACGGAGTCGAAGAGGACGCCGCACATGCCGCACACGGGCACTGGGTCGGTCTCGCCCTGGCAGGCGACGCCCTTCTGCGGGTCATTGTTCATGCCGCAGTACGTGTCCTGGTCGTGCCTCTCCAGCCGGATGTGGCCGCCTTCACCCCAGTCGGCGCCCCAACTGTTCTGGATAAGCCAATACTTGTGCCCGTCCTGCTCGCCATATCCGATCGCGGTGACCGCATGGTCGATTACTGCGTCCTTGCCACAGCCATTAAAGATGCCGGACTCGTAGTTAAACCACGTGTCCGCGGCGACGGACACCGCGACGGGGCCCTTCTCCGCAAGTGCACGGGCCAGAGGCTCGTACTGGTTTTTCGGGAGCGTCTCCCAACCTGTCATGCCGAAGGCCCCGCCACCCATGGCCGCGGTGTCTGCGCCGTCCAGGAACGAAGTGCCGCCACCTGCGACGAGAGCTCTCGCCATGTCGGCGGTGGCACTGCCGCCCTGGCACGCGGCGTCCTGGCCCGTGTAGGGCACCTCCGACTCCTCCGCGCAGCCGTTCTTGAGGACCCACTCCATGCCGAGCTCCGCCGTGGCGCCCTGGCAGCCCCCGTCGCCGCCGCAGTGGCGCGGGTTCGGCGTGCACTCCACGATCTGCTGCGCCGAGAAGGTCCGCACCTTGCCAGTGTAGATCTGAGCGTGGGCCTCGAGCACCGAGGAGACGGCGATCGCCCAGCAGCTGCCTCATTCGGGAAGGCTCGGGGGGGACTGGCCCGAGGGGGGGGGGGGGGCACATCGACATGGATGAAGGGGCCCCAGGACACACAAATCAATACACACAAATGAAAGTATCCTCCATATTTTCCTATATTTTCTGGGTTTCTGTCTTCCCCCACACTTCCCATAGTTTCCCATATTTTCTGAAGAATCGACGATTCATTGTGTCTGTGTTTTTTCCCCTCCTGAATGGAATCCGCGATACATCGCCGACAGATCGACGGCGAATCCGCACGCTCCTGGGCGGGGTGGGCTCTCGGGATACCCCATCGGCGATGGAAGCGCGAGATCGCGGGTCGATGCAGCCCCCCTTGGAGCCTCTGCCCGCCCCTGACTTCGCCCCCGTCTGCCGCAGTTCTGCTGGTTCTTGATGCGCTGGGCCATGGCGAGCTCGCCCCAGACCTTCTCCTTTGGCAGGTCCGCGCCGCGCTGCTGCAGGAAGGCGCTCCGGTGCGGCTGCACGCTGCGGAGGCCGCCCGCGCCTCCCGGCACCTTGCTGCCGTCCCAGCCGCGCAGGGTCTCGAGCTCCGCGTCGGTCCAGTCCCACAGCTTGTTCACCCCGGCCGTCCAGAGCCGGCCCTCCTGCGCGTTGTGGCGCTCGGCGCCCGCCAGGCGCTCCTCGTAGAGCCCCCGGCGCATCACGTACTCGTCCGTGCCGGCCTCGTAGGCGCGCCCGTGCGCCTCCAGGAAGTCGTCGAACGACACGAGTCCGGCGCGGGAGCCGCTGACGAGGGCGGCGGCGGCAAAGGCCTTGCTCATTGCGGCGGGCATTGCCGAGGAACAGTACGCGGGGGGGGGGGGAAATGTTGGTCTTCGTTGGGCGCGGGGCGCGGCGGGGCCTGAGCGGAGCGGCGTCTTGAGCCAAAGCAGCAAGGGGGGGGGAGGGACAGGGGCACGGCATGCGTCTTGCGCCGCGAGGGTGCTGCAGGGTGGGGCCGACGCACCCGGAACGGCGCTGGCCTCGGAGCTGAAGCGCTGCTGCGCCACGGAGCGCGGCAGCGCGGGGGAGAGAGAGGGATGAGGGAGGGAGAGGGCAGGGGAGGAGGGGAGGGAGAGGGCAGGAGAGGGAGGAAGGGAGAGGGAGGGAGAGGGCAGGAGAGGGAGAGAGAGGACAGGAGAGGGCAGGAGCACACCGAGCGAGGCCAGCGATGGAGCAGGGGAGCGAGCGCACGAGCCTGCCGCCGCCCCGAGCGCGACCCGACTGGGGCGGCAGGCGCGCTGCGCCGCGCCAGGGGCCTCCGGGAAGGCAGGAGCGGGCGCGTGAGGCGCGAGGGCACGGAGGGGTGAAGCCGACGCGGGAGGTGGGGGGAGGCAGGAGGAACACGACGGACTGATTTGGGGGAGGCAGGAGGAGGAACACGATGGACTGACTTTGGGGGAGGGGGTAGGAGAAAGGAGGAGGAGGAGGAGGAGGAGGAGGAGGAGGAGGAGGAGGAGGTGAGAGCAGGTGGAGGGGGGGAGAGGAGGGAGGAATAGAAAGAGGAGGTGGAGGGGGGGGATAGTTGGAGGCAGAAGGGCGGAGGTGCAGGAGGGGCCCGGGTCCTCGTCGTGGCAACTTGTTCACCACTTGGAGCCTCGAGGTCTGGACTCTCTCCCTGGAGCAGTTCTCTTATCCTGAGCTGCTCCTGGACAGCCCCTGGGACGCGCATGTGCCCCCCAAGAGGCAGAACATGCAACGAAACCTTCCACGGGCTCTTTCTTCACGACGCGAGGCGGTCGGGGCGGGAGGGAGCAGGGAGACGCGCCACCAGTCACGTGAAGACCTCGGCGGCCTCGGCGGCACTCGACGCGCCGCGCAGAAACTGCCGGATCATGTGCAGCGCCTCGCGGCCATAGTCGCGGTTGCCGCCGCCGTCGTCGCTATTGCCGTCACCACCTGCGCTGCCGTCGCCGTTGTCGGCCCGCCGACGTCGTCCTCGCCGTCGCCGTCGCCTTCGCCGTCGTCGGCGCCGCCGTCGTCGTCTTCGCCTTCGCCATCGTCGCCGCCGCCGTCGCCTTCGCCGTCGCCGTCGTCGTCGTCGTCGCTGCCGTCGCCCGTCGCCTTCACGTCGCCGTCGCCGTCACGCGGGTCAGCGCCTCGCGGGGCTTGTACCGCGGGGCCATGTGGCCCGCGTCCCGCAGCGTGGCGTAGGTGAAGGAGGAGGTGCCTTTCGGCAGCCACCGACTCCCAGACCTCCAGTGCGAGGCGGGGATTTCCACATGGCGCCTGGGGGGCCGATCTCCGAGGACCCCAGGGGGCGGTGGACATAGATATCATGTTTGGGCCCCAGGGGGCCAGAACCTAAAAATATCCACCGCCTCCGGAGGTCTAGGCAGACTGGTTCCCCAAGCGATGGTTATGTATAAACTCCTGCCTCGGAAAAAGCGCCTTGGAAACACAAGGCGGAGATTGTGAGCGCCTGCTTGAAGGTCTGGAAACCATTTTCGGACGCCAAGGCCGTCAAAAAAACAGTCCAAGACTTCCCAAAAGAAAGGGTCTGGAGGTCCGTGGTCTGCCGTGATCGATTCGCCATCCTCCTCAGACCCCCCGCGCCTGTAAGCGTAGGTCGGGCGTGTCCTCCTACAGGCGGATTCTGGAGGACAAATCGAACATGTTGAACACATGCTCCCAAATGCTCCAAAATAGTAGAACCGTCGTCCCGAGACTGTTGATTGTTTTGTTGTCTGAAAATTCCTCCTGTAGAGGGACACGCCCGACTTGACTTTAAGACCATCGGGATGGCACACATTTTCTGAGTGCTCGCCCACGTTGGCCCTCGATCTCTCGATCGCGGCCTGCGCGTGCCAGCCTTGCCCCGTCGTGTGAGATACAGTCGGGGCGCTGACCTAAGGAACCCTACATTGGGAACGAGGCCCCTTTTTTCCATGACTTAAACTTCGATTTCCCATCGAAAACCTACGGAAAACAGGAAGCAACCTGTGAAACAATTAAGGAACACGGAGCCCCTCCCAAACGAGAAGGGTTCCTTCTTCAGGGCCCCGACTGTACGATGCTCCCAGAGTGCGCCCTGCGTCCGCCTGGGCCGCCTGCAGCAGTGCTGCGGGAGTGGCCGACCACGTCGGCGCGTGGAGACGTGCCAGGAGCCGGCGGCGCAGAGCCTGTCGTTCGACGGGCGCGCTCGGCCCCACCCCACCTTCTGCGTCTTCCCCGCCCACGGTCCTCGTGCATTCCGGCGGCGCGGGCACTGGCGTTGCCCGGTCGGCGGGTGCGTGCATGCCGCCTCGGCGGCCCAGCTTTCCCCCGCCATCTGCGTGCGGTGGGGTCAGCGTTTTCCCCCCGCTGCGCCCGTCTGCGCCGCGCGGCGTCTCTCCTCCGCCCCCTCTCCCGCCCCCCCGGGCTTCTCCATCCTCTGCCGCCTGCGTTGCCTGCTGGTCGGTGCCGCTGCCTTGCCGTTGCCGGCGCTCCGGTCCCGTGGCTCGCCCCGCCTCCGCTCGGCGTGCTCCCCGCGCGGATCGGGCCCCCCGTGGAGCTCCAGCGAACTGCGGCCCCCACGGGGCGTTCGCGCACCACCCCCGCTTGGCTTCGGGATGCCACCCACGTGCATCGCGCGCAAGAATGGGCCCCGCACACGGCCCCCGGCGAACGCATACAGTCGGGGCGCTGACCTAAGGAACCCTAAATAAGGAGCGAGGCCCCTCTTCTCCAGAAGTTGAACTTCGATTTCCCTTCGAAGACCTAAGGAAAACATGGGGCAAACTGTGAAACAATTAAGGAACACGGAGCCCCTACCCAACGAAAAGAGTTCCTTCTTCAGCGCCCCGACTGTAATCGCCGCCGTCCCATTTGGATTTCCGCGTGCAGCGTTCCATGCGCCCCCGCGGGAACCCATGCCGACGATGGGACAGGGAATCCCTGGATCCCCGCGCATGGACAAAACCAGCACGCCAGGTCTGAGGGGTGAACAGCCATGCGCATCCTCCTCACGCCACTAAGCAACCAATGCAAACAAACAACACATAAAAAACGAATAAACTGAAAACCGAGGACAGGAGGGAAACCAAAAGGTACCGATACCGCTACTCCCCGAATTTCTCTCGGGGGACGTTCTGACCAGAATTTCGAGGCGAATCCAGCGGTGGCGACGAGGGCCACCAAGGAAGCCCCAAGAGGGGGAACACGAGGGAAGGGCAGCAGTATCGGCACCTTTCCCTCCTCTGAGATCGGGGGGCTGCCCTCCTTTGCATAGGGGAGGTCCCTTTGGCCGTCCCCAGGGCCCCCTCTGGCCCTTTCTAGCAATCCGCGAGCAAGCACGGCTTGGCACACGTGCGGCGCGCGAGGAGACCCAGCGCGGAACGTCACCGAGTACACGTGCTGGCGCTCCCGAAGAAGCGGACAGCATCGTGCGGGCGATGTGTATACGACGCCACAGAGATATACACAGGCGCCCTCCAGCGAATTTTGCATGCACCTCCCTGTGCGTAAAGTCGCTGGCTCTCAGTGGTGATTGATACACCGCCGCCCTCCCCTTGAGCCCAGGAACAATCCAGTGGAGGGTGCCTGTGTGACTATGTTTTGTGGCGGGGTTCAGCAGCAGAGGATGGCCTAAACCATCGGGTGGACGATGTTCAGCAGCAGATGAGATGGCCGAAATTGACAGCCTTTGCTGTTGGGCGCACTGACCGTCCGATCCTTTAGATTGACAAACCAAAAGGCGTTGACAATCTTAGGGATACGGCCTCAGAAACGGAGGGAATCCTTGAGACTGGCATCGAGGCGAGTCGATGCCAAAAATAGGGATAGGGATATGTCGCCGCGCCGTTTGTCCTCGACGCGCCCGAGTGGACGACGCTGCGTCACTTGTCCTCGACGGCAAACCCACGGCAAACCCTGCGTCCCGCGCCTCAAGAAGACGAAGCCCGCACTGCGGCAAACCCCACGGCAAGCCCACCGCCTCCCGAGGCGGCGCTCGCCCTGTTGCCCGCGGCGCCCTCCCCGAGACGCAGGGCCGCGTTTCGGAACAAACGGCGCGGCGATACATTTCGGATTCCCGAGGCCCTGAACCCAAACATTGTTTCTCCACATGCTTTACTTCCGCCGCCTTCCGCCGAGCTTCCGCCGGCTTCCGCCGGCGGAGGCGGCCTCGTTTTACTTCCTCCCACCTTCCGCCGACCCCTTCCGCCGCGGAAGAGATGACAAGTCCGCCTCTCCTCGAGCACGAGGCCCTTTCTGGAACGCCCCAAATGTTCCAGGCCAATACCAAACGCCGCTCGCCACCGAGCGGGCCACGCCCGCCCCGACACCGACAGCGCGCGCGGCCAACCCCGCCGCGAGAACGGCTGCCCGCCCTCGCCCCCGCTCGCTCCAATGCTCCTAGACAGGATCGACCCAGACAGTGATTTCCGTTTTTTTCTGTTGCGCTTTCCCTCGGGCTGCCTTCGATCCGCCCTTTCGCTGCAAAGCGACATCGAAACGATTAACTGCCAACGAAGTCGCCAAAACGCCGTGAAGGTCGAGACCCAGCTCGCCCTGGGCCAGCACGCCGTGTGCACAGCACTGCGAACATCTGTGCGACGTCCACCTCACGGAAGTGTCCGGAAGTCCGAGCGGACTTCTCGGATCGGCGCTTGGCCCCCTTCCCCTGATGCGCGAGGGGCGCGCCAGGGGCGGCGCCAGAGGCTCCCCGCCCAGGGGGGGGGGGGGCCAACCCCGACCCGAGAACTCCGCGCGGACCTCGGGAAAAACCTGGTGTCTACTTCTTCGACGCGCGTGCATCGCGCTCGCGCCCTGGCCAACCACATCATTGGGGGCCTCCCAGCTGGGATCCGAGCAGATGGGGTCGGAGGGTCGCGCCGCATCGCCGATGCGTCGGCGATGCACCGGCGATGCGGCTCGATGTGGGGACCGATCTTTTCTACGCCGACGGCACCGATGAATCGCCGACGTCCCCAGTGCAGCGCCGATGCGTCGGCGATGCGACGCGATCCTCCGACCCCAACTCCTCGGACCCCACCTGGGGAGACCACACGGTACCGATACCGCTGCTCCCGGACCTGTGGCTTGAGAGGGGAAGGTGCGGAGAGGGGGGAGGGGGAGGAGGAGGAGAAGGAGGAGGAGGAGGAGGAGGAGGAGGAGGAGGAGGATGAGGAGGAGGACGAGGAGGAGGAGGAGGAGCAGGAGGAGGGATCTCGAGGCGCCTCCAGCGGTGGCGACGAGGGCCCCCCATGGAGGCCCAGAGAGGGGAGAGCGAGGAGAGGGTATAGAGGCGTGGGCACCGCCTCCCTCCTCCGAGCAGTCTCTGCAGAGGCCTCGCGTCGTGTGCCGCCCGCTTCAGGTCGGGCCTGTCCCCCTACAGGGGGATTTTCGACGAAAAATAAAACATACCCCGAAAATACCCCAAACAGATTTTTGTTTAAAGAAAAAATGCCCCAAAAATAATCCCCAGATTATGTTTGGACTATTTTTAAAGCATTTTTGGGGTATTGTTTATTTTTCGTCGAAAATCCCCCTGTAAGGGGACAGGCCCGACTTCACGCCAGCTTCCCTGCCGCCCACGGGGCCTTCCGGGCCGCCCGCGTCGTAGCGCACCCGGTACCCCGCGGGGGGCCCGCCGCCCGGGAGCGCCCAGGGCCGCCAGGGCTCCAGCACGGGGAGGCCCAGGCTCTCGATCCAGCGCTGGGTACCTCGCGCGGCGGCGGGCAGGCGCACACCGCCGAGACGTCTCGCTGCACCGACCTTGTGCAGGCGTGCTGCAGCGGACGCTTGCGCGGATTTCTGCAAAAGCGGAGCCCCGACACGGCGAGCGAAAACCGACGTGAATTTCACACGGATTGTTGGCAGTCGTCATTCCCGACAAGAAAAATCCGTACGAAATTCACTTCGAAATCCGAAACGAAATTCTCCAGGACAATCCGGGCCCATCCACTTCTTTTCCGAACGGAATCCGCTCTGCGATGTTGGCGCCATGAGACGTTGAATGAAGACGGGTGGTAAGGACGCCAGACTCTTGGAGGCCGAAAATGGGCTTTGTTGGGCGACGGGCGACCCGTGAAACGGCAAAGCACGGGCCGCAGATGCAAGGAGACAAGACCACCCTGGATGAAGGCGCGCGTCCTCACTCGGCGCGTTGACTGTGTCCATGCCCTCGCGGTCTGGAATCCGAGGCAGCCCAGACCCACACGGAGGGTTTTAGAAACGTGGCGGCATCGGCACCGGGCCCGCCGTGCCCCGGGGCGGTCAACCTTGGGATGACAAGCTGGCCCCCAGGAAGGAGCCAAGATCCCCACGGGCCCACGTCGAGAAACATAGGCACGGCGTCGGGGGTCTGGGCAACAAGGCGCGATTCCATGGATGAGCGATCCCAAGGATGCGCTCCGCGCCGGGCACCCGCGCACGGCCGTCCTGTATCCGTGGTGTCGCGGCCAAGGATTCCAGACCGCGGCGCCGCTGATACGGACCCAGTCGAGGCCGACTGGAGAGAGGACACGCGCGAGAGAACTCAGGACCCTTCCGAGGGCCACGCTACCATGTAGGAGCGCAGGAGGGAGGGGTCGCGAAGCACAGGACACAAGAGCACCCTCGATCTGGCAAGGTCGACCTACCAATCGACACCGACTGCATGTTGCCTTAGGTCGGGCCTGTCCCCCTACATGGGGATTTTGGACCAAAAAAATACGCCCAAAATGCTCCAAAAATGCTCAAGAGAGCCAGAAGATGGTCCCCAGACAATGTTTTGACTATTTATGAACTTTCCCCCTGTAGAGGGACAGGCCCGACTTAAATTTTGCCCGCCCAAGAGGAGTGCCCACGTGCGGCACGCAGGGGTCCGCGTCGCCGCCGCCCGGCGGCGCGCTCGAGGGAGGGGCAGGGCGGGGATCGGAGAGCAGACAGCTGCAGCGGCATAGCACCTGTTGCGGGACGCACGAGGACCTACCGGTACGATCTGTCCTCCTCGGGGGCCCTGCCTCCGACAAAGACTCGTTCTGGTCCGACACGCGCTGCGGGCGGCTCGGATCGTAGGACCGTCCTGCACCATGTCCTGTCCTGAGCGTCGTGGCCAGAAAGCGTCCGCTTCGGAGCTTGTGCTATCAGATTCCTCTGCGCGAGCGCGTCGCCCTGGGGGGGGGGGTGGGGCGACGCACGCATAATATGAGCATGTTGGGGTGACACCCGTGTTGGAGGTCGGCGCGGTCTTCTTGGGTCCAGCGCCGAACCGAGACATCCGCGCGCACCTCCGACACAGTTATCTTGGTTTGCATGCAGCCGTCTGCGATCTGAGAAGAGGGCAGCCAACTCAGAGGGCACGCAAGCTTCTAACAACCGTCCTGCCCCCCCACCCACACACAAACACACACACACACACACACACACACACACACACATAAACACATAAACACACACACGCACATTTTCAGGCATCTTCTGAAAAAGGGCTCGGAGGAGGCGGGCGGGCCTCTGGGAGGCAAATGGGGCCCTTTCTCTCCCCCCGCCCCGCCCCCCTCTTGCGCGCCGCCGTTGCTGTACTGGAGGATGTGGAGGCGGGGGGCCAGCCTCTCCCTGTACGCCTCCAGCAGGCTGAACGCCGAGAAGTTGTACTGCAGTGCGGTGTGGAAGTCGAAGCGCGGCTTCCCGACCACCTGGCCGCTCTCCGAAATCCGCGGGACGCACAGAGACACACTAATACTGCGCGTCGCTCCCGGGAGGCGCCCGTCCGACCCGCACAGGTGGTACATACCCGTCCTGCAGCCTATAGCTTCCCGAGCGGCGGGGCCAGGAAGCGCCCGCCACGACGCACGCACTATCAGATTTCTCGGTGCGCGCGTCGCCCCTGGAAAGGGGGGGGGGGGGCGACGCACACGCAGTACCAGCATGTTGGGGTGGCGCCGAATCCAGAAACCACCAAGCACGCCGTCCCTTCGCAGGGCCCCTTCCACCTCACGCCGGCCTCCGCCACGCCTTCCTCCCGCAGAGAGCCGCCCCCCCATCCACGCTGCCGCTGCTGCCCGCACGGAGGAAGCGCATGCGCCAGGCGGCGGCATCCGAACACTGCCCCCGCGAACCAGCTGATTTTTGAAGGGGCCCCAGAACACACAAATTCGCCGGCCCAACGGGCCAGAGGCGTGCTAAGATCTCCGGTAACTGGTTAACAATTGTATTGTACTAGTTCGCGCGCGCGGGGCGGCCCCTGGGGGTCCCCCGGCGAAAAGTACCCCGCCCGCCGCCTGGCAAGGTCCCGCCCGGTTCAACTCAGAGATGGTTTTCCTTCTGGGTGCGGCCTCTCAGGCCGCCCTGAGCGCGCCAAGAGTGCCCCAAGAGGCCCCCAAGACTGCCCAAGAGGCCCCCGAGACGCCCAAAGAGCGCTCGAAGACGCCGAAGATGACCCCAAGACGGCCCAAAAGGCCCCCAAGACAGCCCAAGAGGCCTCCAAGACGCCCCAAGAGCCTTCCAAGAGGCCTCCGAAGAGAGCCCCAAGAGGCCAAAATCGTTGATTTTCATTGGTTTTTTTCGATGTTTTTTGTGTTCTGGCTTTTTCGGCTTCCGGACGCTCCAAGACGGCCCAAGAGGCCCCCAAGACCGCTCCAAGACGGCCCACGAAGCTCCCAAGACGGCGCCGAAACGACCCAAGAGAGCCCTCAAGACGGCCCAAGTGCCGCCCAAGACGGACAAGAGGCCCCAAGACGGGCCCAAGAGGGACTCAGGAGGGATACCGAGAACTCAAAAATGGAGCCCTCCGTCCCAGGAGGCGCCCAGGAGGCCCCAAAAAGGCCCCAAGAGGCCCCCAAGAGGCCCCCAAGACGCCCCAAGAGGCCCAAAAGAGGCCCAAAAGAGGCCCCAAGAGGCCCCAAAACGGCCCCCAAGAGGCCCCAAAACTCGG